ACGCGCAAAGCCGCGGGGGCCGGCGGGGCCAGCAACGGAGCGGGAGCCGGCTCGGACCAGGACCGGGTGAAGCGCCCCATGAACGCCTTCATGGTGTGGTCGCGGGGCCAGCGGCGGAAGATGGCCCAGGAGAACCCCAAGATGCACAACTCGGAGATCAGCAAGCGCCTCGGGGCCGACTGGAAGCTGCTGAGCGACGCAGAGAAGCGGCCCTTCATCGACGAGGCCAAGCGGCTGCGGGCCGTGCACATGAAGGAGTATCCGGATTACAAATACCGGCCCCGAAGGAAGACCAAGACCTTGCTGAAGAAGGACAAATACTCGCTGCCCGGCAATCTGCTGGCCCCGGGTGGGGGCAACGCGGTGAGCAGCCCCGTCGGGGTGGGGCAGAGGATTGACACTTATGCCCACATGAACGGCTGGACCAACGGGGCTTACTCACTGATGCAAGACCAGCTGGGCTACAGCCAGCACCCGGGCATGAACAGCCCCCAGCTGCAGCAGATGCACCGCTACGACATGACAGGCCTGCAGTACAGCCCCATGATGTCCACGGCCCAGACCTACATGAACGCCGCCTCCACCTACAGCATGTCCCCCGCTGCCTACGGCCAGCAGCCCTCCACGGCCATGAGCCTGGGCTCCATGGGCTCGGTGGTGAAATCCGAGCCCAGCTCGCCGCCTCCTGCCATCACTTCCCACTCGCAGAGGGCCTGCCTGGGAGACCTGCGGGATATGATCAGCATGTACCTGCCCCCGGGGGGGGATGCCACAGACCCTTCCGCCCTGCAGGGCAGCAGGTTACACAGCGTCCACCAGCACTACCAGAGTGCCGGGACTGGCGTGAATGGTACCGTACCACTAACTCACATATAAACTTGGCTGCTCCGGACGGCTCCCCGTCTTAATCCCTAACCCCACCACCGTTCCCTGACTACACCGGGACGTACGGCAGTGTTGCTCGGCTTAGCAGACTTAATACTAACTTTGGAGAAATTTTAAAAAGGAAATCCGTTAGTTGTGTCCTTTTTTTGTACAAAAAAAATATTCGAGAAAGCTGTTATTTTAATAGATCACACTTCCTGCCTCCTAAAAGCCGCTGTGAAGTTTTTAAAGCACGGCAACTTCTTTCCTTGTTTCTGCTAGGTTGGGCACTGTTTTATTCGCTTAAAAGTTTTTAAAAGATCTTGCATCTTCCAGTTTGATTTCTAGCCTTGCAATGACATAAAAAAAAACCAAACCACCAAACCGGCGGGCTTTTGTTTTTAAACTCAGTTGTTCACATTATCGTTGTGGTTTCTTAAGTGTGTTGTTCTTCCCACCTTATCGAGCCTCGCTTGGTTTCAGTCCACAATCTGTAGCTTTCACGACTTTTTAACTTTAGGGTTTTGTTCCTTACAAAATGGGGAGGTGGGAGAGAGCTGTGCGGGTCGCAAACGCATTTCTTTTATTTATAGTAAGTTGTGTGTCTTGGTTTTTCTTAAGCTGTAAACTTATGTAAAATGGTTTGTGAATTTTACTGTGAACCATGTTTTGACATATCAGATGGAGAAACGTTTTAGTTTTGTTTACCGGATTTCTTCAAAAAAAAAAAAAAAAAGTCATCGAAACACTCCTTCCCTCTCCCTGTCCCTAGTCCTCGTTTGCTTCCTTCTTCCAAACGAAGAGAGATCAATAAATTTTATATCAGGCATGTCGGTAGTCTCCGGGCGGTTTGTGCGGGGGGCGGGCGCGCAGCCCGTCCCTCCGCGGCGGCGGGGAGCCCGGAGCGGGGGCAGCGGGCTTTCCCGGGGCGCTCCTTCCCGGGGCTCCCCGCAGCAGTCCCGGTTCCGCTGCCCGGCCGAGAAGCCCGGGAGCTGCCATCGCATTCGGCCGGGTTTCTGCGCCTGCTGCGCCGTGGTGTACTTTGGCTGGG